GGCCGCCTGCGGGGACGGAGAGCGGGAGGCAGCGGCGCTGGGGGCGGCCTGGGCGGAAGGGCTGGTGCTCCCGAGCGGGGTGGGAGTGCGGGGGTTCCTGTGGGGGTCGGACACCCCCCGCGGCATCCCCAGGATCTGGCAGCTCCGCCGGGAGGTCTCGCGCGGTGCCAGCCCCGCAGTAACGGCAGGAGGTGCTTGGGGTCTGCAGGCTGAGCCCCGGTGTGAGCAATCCTGCTTTGGATGACCAAGGCACCTCGGGACGTAGCTGCTGTCCAGGGGGTCCTGCCAGTGGAGATACCCACCCCAGGGCTTGGTAAATTCAGCAGAGAGTGTTCTTCACCTGTAGTCTCGTGCTCTCTGGGATAATTCTGGCCTCTCATTACCTCCTGTGTACCAAGCTCTGATAATTTTGTTCTGTGAGGCTTGTCAGTTAAAATCATAATTCCCTCCCCCCCCTTTTTTTCTTCAACCAGTAAAGTCAAGTTCAGGGAAGACTTCACCTCCCTTAACTGCTCTCTGGACCCTTAAGCCATCCCCTGTGTGCCAGCATCATCCCAGAACTGATCAAAATGGGTTTCTATTGAAATGGACTAGAAACTCACGCCTAGAGAGGTCAATGGGACGAAAATTACTGGGATTATTGCATATTAGGCACATAAAAATACCAGTTTAAACATCAGCTTTGTCTTGACGATTGTTACCAAGTGAATCAAATTCATACGGACTATTTAGAGGGATCCCGAATGCAAGTTACGTTTAGATACCGTGTCAGCTGTTAAATAACAGCTGTCGAAGCTGAATACTTATTTGAACTGTACCTGCAATTAGTTAGCTGTGTAAAAGAAGATACAATATATCTTTGGGGCTTTTGATTATAGGTGAAAACTTATGCGCAGTTAGGCTGAATTCAGATGACTGCAGAACCTGTCATATTTCAATGCACTTTGCTGTCTTCCTCTATTTTGCTCTCTGTCCGTCTTTTCTTTCTTTCTGTATTTGAATTTAAAGTCAATTTCTTTCTTTTCTTTTTCTTCTTATTATTTCCGTGTTGTGGACAGAGCTTTTAGAGATAGTTGTTTACTATTTCTACAGGAAATGTAGGCATTTCTAATAGGAATGAAATAATGTATTGAAGACCACTGTAGGAAATGGGAGTTCCTGCTGCCACTCAGACTCTTCCATCCAAGTCCATTTAGGGGAACAGCCTCCTGGGACTTGCTGCAATCGCTACCTTAAAAATACCCTCCCAGCACGTTTTTTCTTTAGGACAGAATCTTATTTTCAGCAGACTTCTCCACTGCTCTTTGCTTTGTTCTTAGCATGAAGTGCAGGATCTGAAGGAGGGTGGAGGGAGCATCTACGCTCTCAACATGCCTGGAACTGTCACTTCCTTATCATCATCTCCGGAGATTACTTCCTCTTTGGAGTCATTCTGTTTTTACAGTTTCCCCTTTTTCACCTTTCTTTATCTTCCCAACCAAGTTGCACAAATTTAGTTCTCTCTGGGAGTGGTGGTTTGCTGTGAAGGAGCTGATTTGGACTTCCCATAGATTGTCTTGCTGTTAACGTTCTCTCTGGGAGTGGTGGTTTGCTGTGCTGGGAAGGAGCTGATTTGGACTTCCCATGGATTGTCTTGCTGTTAACAGTTACACCCCTGCCGGCTCTGGTGGCTGCTGAACTCCAAGTCAAGCTCCTTCCAGAACCTGAAGGTTGTTCCAAGTTCGTTCTTGTTGTGAATCCTTGTGAGCTCTGCCTTCTCCATCCCTGGGCAGGGAGCTCTCACAGAGGCTTTTCCTTCAAAGGAGTGTTGCTCTCGAGCCCTCGTGAAGAAGTGTGGTCAGATCATCTTTCTCTGTTTGTGCAGCTCCAGTTTTTCTATCTCGGTGCCTGTTTTCTGTGTTCAATAGACTTTAAACCCATTCTTTCCCTGCCAGGTGCTTGTCTGCACTAAATCTAGAGAGTGGCCAGCCAACTGACAGCCAGAAGGAGGAGTTGGGCACAAAACACTTGAGCTTGAGCTGGCAGCGTGATGCTGCCAGAGGGGTGGTTATGGCTTTTCACGTGGTGCTTGTCTGATCACAGGCGAGCTGATTCCCACTCCTGCTTCCTGTTTAATCAGTTTACTGCTGTCCAGGAGAGCCAACCAGCTCAGTGCGATTGGACAGGTTCCTAAGTTGCCTTGAAGAAAGGCTGGAGCTCGTGACCAGGAGTGAAGGGAGGACACAGGAGATGATTTGGCTTCATCTTTCTCTTGAAGCCCTGTGCAGGGCTGTTTGCTCCCTTCTCTCAGCTCTAAAAGACATCAGGCTTTAGTTGCATCTGAGCCGGTTCCTGAGTGCTCTAGTGCTGGTGGCGCTTGGTAATTGCTGAGCCCTCTCTTTTGTGGTTAATTCTCCATTCTGACGCAAGGTGTCAGGGAAGGGTTTCTTGGTTCCTTCTTCTGCCTCAGCTGGGTAAACCAGGTCTGTTTCTGGGTTGAATCTCTCCTGAATAATCAGTTTTATGAGTTGCCCAGATTTTCCACAGTCCTAATGAGACAGAGCTCTCTCCAACTCTTAAAAGCTGTTGCAACTTCCTGTAGGTTCATCGTCAACTCCTATAGATTCAACAACTTTACAAGAATAAAAAGTTAAGACAGTTGGACACTGGTGTATCTTTAAGAAGTGAGGTTGAATCGATTATTGGAATATGTAGGCTATAGGCAAGATTTATTGTTGGTTTTGCTATATGGGCACATAGTGGCCACGTTCAACTTGCTGTACATGAGGACCCCAATATCTGTCTTTGCAGAGCTGTCCAGTTAGTCAACCCCGCTATGTGCTGGTATGTGATACTGTTCCTTCGCAGGTGAAAGACTCTGTGCTTCCATTTGCTGAACTTCAGGAGGTTCTTCACCCATTTCTCCAGCCTGTCAAGGTCCCTCCAAACAGCAGATGATCATCAGATGTATCGTTCCTCCTTGTTTTGTACCATCTGCCAGCCTGCTGCAAATTCCATCATGTCATCTAGGTCATTAGTGAAGCCTTAATGAAGGATTGATGCCTGAGGGTCATCACTAATGACAGGGCTTCTGTGAGGACGTGGTGCTGGTGGCCACAACCTTAATGTTTATACAGCCTACACTTCTTCAGCTTGGCTGTGAGGATGTTATGGGAGACAGTGTCAATAAGTTCACTAAGATCAAGCTAAATACCATGTGCTGTTCTGCCCTCATCCACCAAGGCAGTTTTCTCATCATGGAAGGCTATCAAGTCAGTTAAATATGACTTTTTTTTCTTTGTTTTTATGCTGACTGTTCCCAATCACCTTCCTGTCCTTTAGATATTTGGAAAATAGTATTCAGGTTCATTTCCCTATCACCTTTCCAGGGTTTGAGGTAGGGCTGACCATCCTGTAATTCCTTGGATCCTACTTCTTGTACTCCTTGAAAATAGGAGTGACATTTGCTCCTTCCAGTCCTCAGGAACCTCTCTTGATCTCCGTGACCTTTCAAACATGGTCGAGAGTGGCTTGGGTATCAGCCAGCTTCCCTCAGTGCTCATGGGTGGACCCTGTCAGGCCCATGGGCTTGTAGGCATCCAGGTTATTGAAGAAAACCTTAACCTGATCTTCCTTCATCAAGGGTAAGTCGTTCTTTGCTCCAGACTTCCCCTCTGGTCTCTACCAGGAAAGACTGAGGTGAAGAAGGCCTCGGTTTCTTGTGTCCTTTGTCACCAGGGCCTGTGCCGCGTTTAGCAGTGGGCCTCCATTTTTTCCTGGCCTTCCTTTCGCTGTTTATGTCCTTGCAGAAGCCTTTTCTGTTGCTGCCCAGAAAGGGAGAAGTGCTTTTTGTCTGCTCAGCTAAAAGTGGATTGTTAAAGACTTGCTTAGATGGTTCCTTAGGGTAAAGACGTTAATTTCTGCACCCTCCTCCTCTTCTTCTTCCTCCATATGGAAGAGAGATGATGAAATACATTGAAACATAGGCTGCCTGATACACAAAGCAAAGTTTTTTTTTCAAGTGGACTATTGGCTTCTTGTGTGAAACAAAGAACAACAAGGACAGCAAGACCTGGCCGTGCCAAGTGAGAAGCCTTGGGAGAGGTAAGTTGAAAGGCTTAGGCTGAAAATATGGGCAACCACTTGGGCCTGAGGAAATCTTGGGTTTGAAACAGAGAAGGTGAAGAGCTAAAGGAGACAATAATGATTAAGGGGAATGGCCACAGAAGTATCCAAATATGCTGTAGTCTGCAGGAAGGTGGCACATCCTTGATATATGTGGAGGTTTGTGCAAGCACAGAAGTGCCTGCTGGACAGACAAAGTAGTAATAAACCGAACAGTAGAAGCTGGAGTATTGTGAAGAGATATACAGGCAGTGTAGCTGGTAATGTAATCCCTTGCTCTCTTGCTTTGCTACCTTGGGCCTGGGAGATGGCTGACATGATAACCTATTTTAATTTTATGTAAGGAGCGATACCTCCTGAGCACCGGGGATGAGATGCTGGCATTGCAGCGCAGAGCCACATGAAGACATCAGTTCATCCCAAAGATGGGAAAGCTCATGCCATGCCAGTGCATGCAAAGGCGAAGTAGTGCCTGCTTGGAAGGTGCTCGAAGCTTTAACTTGATCTAAAACTCTGACATATAGTCAAGGGAAGATGCTAAAGAAGGAAAGTGCAGAAGTTTGAGCTTATGAGGCCAGGGATGACTCTTAAGTGTCTTAAGAGATGATGAAGAGTGTTTTAAGATGCTTCTTAAATGTAATGCTCATGGGACAGGCTTTTGTGACTGAAAGTTGTCTGTAAGGCTGAGCAATGGTTTGATTTCTTTAATGACAAAGCAGACTTATACGAATGATTAAATTACTGCTGTGGACTTGTGAAGTTTCTCAGGGAAAGGAATGTGTTCTGCTCAGTGACATGTCCAGTTGTGGTAGTTACAGAGCAGTTTGAATTCAGCTTCAGTTGCATTTAAGCCAGTTGTAGAGCCAACTTCATAAAAACTGGAATGCTTGAAAGAGCTGAAAAAAAAAGGTTACTGTAAGTGCAGCCTTGAGGTGTCTGACCTACTATTTGACCCCTCAGAGGAGGGGAAAAAAAATGAATTAAAATATAGCTCTGAAAAGATGTGTTCTTGCAAGAGGCAATTTTCTGGGAGTTGTGACCTGTTCATAACTCCTTGTGTTTTATGGGGAGGAGAGGGAATAAAAGTATTGCTGTGATTCAAGAAGATCCCCTTTGCCAAATGCTGGCTCAGTCTCTTCAACTGTGTGACCCATTTGAAAAAAGCCCAAAAGGGCAAACGTGTATCTCCAAGCAATTGCTGGCTGTGGCAGAAACGTTGGGGCCAGTACATTTTTGTGGGTCACCACCTGGAGAAGTCCCTCAGGAGCGGCTCGCATCAACCTCTCGCTTCCAACAGGCAGAGCAGACAGAGGAGAGGTGCTGCAGAAGACCTAGGAGCCAGTGTCTTGTCCACCTGCAATGGGCGAGGTGTCTGGCAGCCACTGCTGAGGGTTGGCTCCCCTTTGGCTTGAACTTGTGGTAGGGACAGAGATCTTGAACTTCCTGGACAGCTCGAGGTTTGCTCCGCAGTGGGTCTGCTTGTTAGTCACAGCACTACTGGGGCAGTAAACCACAGGATTAGTCAGTCCTTAATGGAGAAGTTGGACGTGCAAATAGTTCTACTAACAACTCCTGAAGCTTTCTGGATGGAAAGAGGCTCTCCAGGTTTGGTGATTAGCCCAGTGGCTGGGGGAGGATAGACTTGCATAAAGCACTGATACTCTGTGGGGTGCATTGAGTCTGGGTTTATAAATCTTTTCTGATTTCTTGGAAAGTATGTTCCATTTTTTTTTTGGATGCTAAGAGATGCAGAGCAATCTAATTCCTGAAGTTTGTGGCTGGCTTTCCCTGTAAAATTTAATTCTGAGTATTATATGAGCACGTTCCTGAAACCAGTTACAACATGATGTTGTGCTGGCTCTTGTGCTGCAGAGAGGGGAGCTGACTCCCTTCCCGAGCGGGGCAAAAGACTGTGGTCAAGCAGGTCATGGGAATTGCTCAGAGCTGTGGAGGGAGAGGCCACAAGGCACAGCTTGCTGTTGGATAGCTCTCATCAGACTATATTTACTGCTTCTCTTGCCTCTTGAAGTGGTTGGTGCAGCAAATCCTACTTATTTGAGTAGCTTGGTTGCTGGCACCGGATCTCTAGCTTGATATGATTGGATAGCAGGGCAGCTTTTTGCAGTCTCAAAAATAAGAGCTGAGTTGTAGGCACTGATGACACCAAAAGGAACTGGAAGTTTCATCATAACAGGCTCTGAGATGAGGGGAGCAGGCCAGGAGGGACTTACAGGGAAGGTCACTAGACTTTCAAACAGGTCCTCAGTAAGGGAGAAAACTGGATCATTTTGGAATGTCAGATCTACTGGATCAGGTATCACATCCACTGGATTCTTCACTTATTTCCTGTCTCGTGGCATGTTGCCTTTTGCCAAGGTGAAGTTCTCAAAGGCAGAGTGAGGTTTTTGGGTTTGCCCAAAGGTGGCTGGGTTGAGCCAGCTCTGCTTTGGGCTTCCCAAAGCAAGTGTTGCTCCTGCGGCAGCTGCGCTGGGTTTGGTTCCTGCACCCAGTGCCTATGGGCTTCTTCCAGCAAGTGCTGCACTCATCTTTGCCAGCCCCAAAGTGCTCCCTGGGCCTGGCCTCTTCCCTTGCTCTTCTACCATATGCTTTGGGCAGCTAATTTTTGGTCCCTCAGAGGATGCTGCCTTTCTCTTGGTAATCCACTGCATCAAGATCCTGAGGACAGGACACCTTGAGAAGGTTGGCGCTTTCCCTTCTGATTCTTGTTTCCTATTCAGTCCAAGAGAATATGGACTGGAAGCAGTGGCTAGATCCTGCGCTGATGATAACTGGAGTTAAGCACAAGACTTTGGACGCAGTTGCCCACGTGGAGTCTGCCCTGTGACCTGCTCTCAGAGCCACGTTCAAGGAGCTGGCTGGCGCAGTGCTGCCTGCCGTGGAGGTGTACATGCCATTCGGAAAGGCAGAGCTGTCAAATGACTTCTTTAAAATGCTTTGCTGCTCTCTCCTGTTGAGTTGAATTTGAAGAAATAAATGGAAAGCTTTGGGATTTTCCCTACTGAATAACTGACAAGATATAGAGTAGCTGCTGCTTCTGGGATCCTATGTAGTTGCAAAACAGACTTAGAGCAGGGTAGGTCTGTACAAAACTGTGCAATAATAGAGAACTGAAAGTGGAAGCGATGTGGCTGTAGCTACCTTAGTCCCCTGTTCCTTATGTTGCAGCCTTTATAGGCACATGACTCTCATTGGGACTCCTTCTCTAATATTCAGTGAGCAACTGTTGAGTTTTGCTTCATACCTTCTCTGGGGACGTCCTGAATTTTGGCATGCTGCAGTTTTGGGGCGATATATTTTGTCATGTGGGTCATGGTGAAAACTTTCACCCAAGTAGCGCAGGTTGCATGATTCTATCTTGAAAGTGTGAGCGTAAGGTCATAGTATTTTGGTAGAATAAAGCTTAGTTGCCTTGCTAAGCAGTCTGGGGAGCAGAGATCTAGGCTAAGTTCCTGCTTTGCTTCAGCCATGCTGCTTGGCTTTGGGCAAGAAGCTTTCCTTGCTGCATCCTGGATCCCCTGATAAAAGTATGTACAGTGCAAACTCATCTGGGAACTCAGGACAGAGGATGCTGTGCAACCTGCACCTCTAGCTGGCTGTAGTGTCAAAATATCAAGGTTTTGGAGCCATGCTGATTCCTTGCTCTGACCTTAGTGGTGTTTATGTCCTTGCCATGATGGTAGAATGTGCACAGTTCAACAAGATGGAAAGATGGCCTCTGTGTTCTGCATCAGATAAATCATGGAGAAGCTTCTTGCTTGGGGTTTTTTGTGTGTTTTTTGTTGTTGTTTGGTTTTTGTGGCCTTAAATCCCTAGCAGAACGTTTGCCTAAGTGGCCCTTTGAGGTGAAGCTGAAGGCAGATGAACACTGTGTACTGCTGCAACCTGTAATGCTTTAGGAGTTAGGATTATATGACGCTTGGTTCTGAATTCAGTTTTTCCATAGAGACACTTAATGCTTTTGGCTGAAATAGAGTTTTTTATCCTGATATTGCTCAGCATGTTATGGTTGCTTGTTTGCCAGGATCACAGCTTGGTTGGGTGTCGTATCTACAGCAAGTGTAACAGGGGAAACAAAGACTGCTTGAAACTGGAGGAGGGAAAGGCTTCTGAGTATGTTCTTCCATCCTGGCCAGGAGCTGGGTTCAATCTTCCCTTTCACCATCTCTATCTCTCCATTTTCCCTTTAAGATGGGGCAGGGCTGGCGTTATGAAATATCTGATCTTTTCCTGCATTTTTTGGATTGTGACAAAACCAATTGCACCCATAACTGTGATGTAAAGCACGGTGTCTGCCTAGCTGACCTTTCAGAGAATTAATGCCTAGAGAAATGTAGAGCTCCAGCATCCTCAGGTGTGCTCAAGAAAAACAAACCTGTAGAACTGGCTTGTGCTTTCTTTTCTAGACTTGAAACTGCACCTGCAGAGCACAGACTATGGGAATTTCCTGGCCAATGAAGCCTCCCCCCTCACCGTGTCTGTCATAGATGACAAGCTGAAAGAGAAGATGGTGGTGGAGTTCCGTCACATGAGGAACCATGCGTACGAGCCACTAGCAAGTTTTCTGGACTTTATCACGTGAGTACCAGCTGCTCATAAGTGGCATTAGAAACCTACTGTTCTTGCAAACTTTTAGATGACCTATCTGTACTCAGCCCTGGAGCTACTTTTTCTTTAACTTGATGGATGAATGAAACTGTTCATGACCCTAGCTGAAGATCCCAAACTCTTCACAGTGTCACTGGACTATCAAAGGCTGCTGCTGGCAGGATATGTGAGCTCCAGTGCAGCGGTGATCCTGCCATCCCACCTCACTGGTTGAGCCAGCGTTCCTCTAAACCCCATCATAAACTGGTTCATGGAGCCGAGCTAGCCAAAAAAATTGAACAACTACCCCTTTTCAGGGTTAGTCTTGGGCAGATTTCGTTTCCTTAGCAGATTTAGTGGGATGTAACGAATATTGCCACCACTAAAGCAAGACAAGGCGTAGAATGTGCAGGCAGTGAAGACAGGGCTGCAGCCACCGCAGCTTGTCTCTGTCAGTGTGTGAAAACGCACAGAGCTCTTGAACTTATTGTGAAGAGGCACGTTCAACTCATGTAAGTCTTGAAATAGCATGGTGTTCTTGCAAGCATCTTCTCCCAGAGCTTTCGTACAACCTGTACCTCCCTCTTCTGCTTCCCTCTGTTCAGTGCTTGTTTTAATTGGTAATGATAATGAAATGGATTTGCTGGCCTCGGAAGTATCAGTTGCACTCGTCTGCTTCTGAAATGTGAAAGCAAAACTGTATTCTTTTCCTCTGGATCCAGCCTGCTCCTGGAAGGTCGTCTTTGGCTTGCAAACTCCATAACCAGTGGCCTTCTCAAATCAGTAAGGATATATACTATGGAGAAAAGTAATCTTCTGGGTGTGTTTAATTCGATGTGATTTCAATTTGCATCTCAGGGAGGAAGGCTTCACTCTATTCTCAGGTAGCATAGTTCATATTACCTTTCTCTACAACATTTACTTATTTGATACAGTGAGTTTGGGCCCTTCCAGGCACCCTTGCAACTGATATTTATTCTTGCACTTGTGGTCAACACTGTATGTGTTACCTTTCCAACCACCAGATGATTCTTGAATGATATGGGCTGTTGTGGAAAGGCTGTTCATGGCTCAAAAATTTAAAATTTGGCCTCTCCGTGACATCATCTGCGCATGCTAATATTGATTAAAAATCTGTCTCTACCACTATCCTGCCTGCTCTGTTTTCATGTATTTCTGAACACCACCTCTATCTCATTGCTTTAGTCTAGTGTCTCATACCTGTAATTTTTGAGGTCATTTTACTAAGGTTTTCCTATTTTTAAGACAGAGGGTTTTTTCCCCCTCCATACCTGTCACTAAAACCCATTGAATTTCCATATCTAGATTTAGTAGTTGACTTTCTGCAAGACCTCATCATGCCTCTCTTGCAGATGAATTTTCAACGAATAAAGTAGTTGTGTTAGTTGTTGGAAGCCCTGGAGAGCAATTTCTTCTACTCTCTCAAATGTAATTATTTTAAGTTAACTTTCCATACACTTCTTGGACTATCTTGTGTTCACTGTAGAGACAACAATAATGTTAGAGACTGTCCATACTGGGTAGTCTGACTGCCTCGATGCTTTTCACATATTGCCCTTCAGGTTGTGAAAATGTCTAGTCTCTGTGGTCAATTGTTGCTATTAATGGTCTCTCCGTTTAGCTTCTGTGCTACCTTTTTGAAGGCAATACCCTAGGCATGACCCATGAATATCTTGCAGACTAAAAACATTCTGGTTTTCCTTTTTAGTCTTTTGAAAACTAATGCATGAAAAAGATGAACTAGAAGCTCTTGCAATCTGCCTGCCCTTGATGACACACTGCATGTTTTGCTAGGAGGGTTGCAGATGTTAGTGAAAATCCAGTCACCTATTAGACCAGTCCAGGTGACCTTTACCAGTATTTTGGACAGCTTAAATTGTACAGAAAACCTTAATTGTCCATGCTTGGGTGAGGTGAGAGGCCAGTTCTCATCAGCTGTTTGAATGGCTTAACTTCAAAGCTTGCTTTGTGCTCAGCTTCATTTAGCTTTGTTATTGTTGGGTTTTTTTTGCTTGATTTTGAAGAAGCCTCCATTTAAAATAAATATCCACGATTCTCTGCTGATATCTTTGTCTCTTCTCCTGTGTAGTCTTTTCATTATATTGTTCCTGTTCAGTACAGCATATTTGTTCCTGGAGTTGTCTTCACTCTCATTTCTTTTTTTTTTTTTTTCCCCCAAAGGACTTGTTTTGGTGCCATTGCCTGCAGTGCTTGGGCTAGAGGAAGGTAGTAGCTGCAGAAAAGCAGTGCTCCTAGATGAAGTTGGTAGCACAGTCCTCTCATGGAGCCTTTTGTGTGAGAAATCTGAGCGCTCAGTTGGATTTCATCATAATTTTGTTCAAGATTGCTACTGTCAAGGAGACAGGCCCTCCTGTGTGTCCAGTTTCAGCTGATCCTAGATTTAGCTATGATGCATAGGTTTCCTAATGCTGCAGTGCACGTGCTCATGTTTTCTACACCAGTTTCAGCTGATCCTAGATTTAGCTGTGATGCACGGGTTTCCTAATGCACGTGCTCATGGTTTCTGCGTGGCCCATCTGATGCCTTTTGATAATTACTTGGGTTCTGGCTAACTTTTGACCTATCCGAGCAAGATACTTGTCTTGTAAAAGCAGGGCTAAACTGGTATTCGTGGTAAATCAGTGTACCTTGTTAAGCCTGGATTTGCAGCCAGGGTTTAATTTGCTTAAAACCTAGTTCTGCTGCCTGCTATCAGTTTCTATTGATGATCATATAGTGGTTACTCCATTTGCTTTGCCCAAGTTAGGTGTCATCCTATAATCCCCGTCTTGGACAAACTGACAGATGGGACCTGTCTTGTCCCATCTGTCAGTTTGAAGTTACTCCTTGCTTTTTGTTAAGGGTTCCTGCGTAAAGGATCACTTCTCACTTGGCTGTTTTTAAATGTGGGAGACTGCCCCAGGCTGCAGTGGTCATGGGGCAATATGGTGAAATCCAGGGAAGATGCATGATTCTTGTTTTTGAAGTATTGCTCAAGAGTGCAGCAAAGATCTGCTGTTGTTCATGCAGTTTTTATCTGCATTTGTTGATTGTGTACTTAAGTATTTAACTTCAAAGGATGACTTTTTACATTAGTCTCTATTACGGTTAAAGTATTTAATAGTCAAAATGTGTCTTTGACTCATGCTAAATAATAGGCAGTTGGAGAACAGACTTTTGGAAATCAGAAATTGCTGCCTCAGGTTGATAACAAAATCCTTTACTTCGTTTTTTCCAAAAATCCTCTCTCCTCACCCCTACTGTTTAGGATGACTCGCTGTTTCAGGGAGATGAGCATCATCACTTTAATAATCCCGAACAGCAATTTTTTTATTATTATTATTTATTTTCTGGGCAGCAAAGCTGGATCACAACCGTGGTAGTCCTGCTACCAGTCATGTAGTATAGTCTTCTTCTGAACAGATCAAAGATTGTGTGGCTTGAGAGTCATGTGGTCTCCATCTGCTTTGCTCTTGCTGAGTCTACTCTTTGGTTTCCTGGAAAGTGTGCTTGAAGTAACTCGCTCTTCAGGGAACTGCAGGAAAACCCTCACCTCAGGACATCTCTAGTCTAACTTTCTGCTCAGAGCACAGCTAACTTTAAAGCTAGAAGTTGTTCAAAACCCACCTGTGCCACGTGCTCTAGGTGTCCTTGCTTAGGCAGAGGGGTTGGACTAGATGATTTCTAGAGGTCCCTTCCAACCTTAACCATTCCGTGAGTCTGTGAGTCTTCTGCACTTGCAGAAGTTTCATAGTGTGTTGTACTGCTGCCAGGATGAGGCTTCCCCTTCATGTCCCAAGTAACTAGCATGGTGAGCAGCTCGTTTCAGAGGCTGGAAGCGTGTGCTTGTGCCAGTATCTTTCACTTGACAGTACTGGACAGTCTCACACAAGAGACCTATTAAATGCTTAGAAAACACCTTGTTGAAAGTGGCCAAGCTGTGGATGGCTAGTACCATGAGGTGGATCAAGCATAAGTCAGGATCCATACTTCATGAATTGGACTCTGTAGAGCTTTAGAGATGATCCACATGTGATTTATGCTCTCTAGAGCTACCTTTTTTTGTGGGGGTGCTCAGACTTCCACCTCAAGTCATGTTGCTGAGAAGATCTAGGGAAAGGTTTGATCTTGGGGCTGACTATTGGGCTCATGTTTTATTGCTCCACAGCCAGCTTGCCAAAAGCTGTGCAGCTGATCCCTGTGTGGAATTGTGCTATGTGGTTTCTCCTGCCTCTTCCAAGTGGTCCATGCACTAAGTGAGGACATGGGAAAGAGAAGCAGCAGTTCTGCTGTGACAGTGAGATGCCACCAAAGGCCTCCATCTCAGATTGTGCAAGGCGGAGAGGCCTAGGGGAGAGCCTTGGAGCTCAAAGAGGGAGCATGTTCTTCATGGGCTCTTCACTGCTGTGCTTTGAGGACGCCAGAGATGTGCCACACAGCTGCCTGGGACTTGCCAGAAGGTGGCACTCCAGGCCTGTGTCTTCCTGTGCCTGGCACACACGGGGCCCTATACAGGACTGTGCAGGTGGGCAGGAATTAACCTGCCTGCAGAGCAGAGGGAAAAGAGCAGCATTTAAAAGGACACCAAAAAACAAACAAACAACAACAACAAAACAAAACCAGCAAAGTAGCTATGTGATGTCTTCAAAGTGAGGCCTTCATTCCATGAGGCCCTTGCTGTCATTGATGCCCATCTATCCTGTTGCACTTTCCCTCCTGGCACCATGTTCTTTCCCAGCTCCAGTCTTGTCCAGGATCTTTCTCCTCATAAGCATTGCTAGTAACAAAATATTTAGGATTTTGCCTGATTTCCCTTTGGTTTTCTCAGGTGGTGGCTGTGGTAGCCTCCTATATCACTGCAACGGGAAAGAGCTCAGCTTGAGGCGCTCCTGGAGGCGTCATAGGAGGAACCACAGCTCTGTAAAGCACCTGTGAGCTCCGTGTCAGGCCGTTTTGCTGCACAGATGGCT